CCACCATTGAACCATGCCTCTGCTTTTGCCTTTTTGGCTCGTTTGACTGGAAATAAGAGTCTCATGGACTTTCCTTCCCCGGGCTGGCTTTGAACTGTGATCCTCAGATCTCAGCCTCCTGAGTAGCTAGGATGACAGGCGTGAGCCACCAGCACCTACCTGGGTAATGAATTTATTTTGAGTTGTCTAGGACAAAAAACCAGCCTCCCTGTGAGACTCCATTTGTTCTTCATCTTTTTTTTTTTTTTTTTTATCGGTCATGGGGCCTGAACTCTGGGCCTGGGCGCTGTCCCTGAGCTCTTCAGCTCAAGGCAAGTGCTCTACCACTTGAGCCACAGCACCACTTCCAGCTTTTTCTGCTTATGTGGTGCTGAGGAGTCAAACCCAGGGCCTCATGCATGCAAAGCAAGTGCTCTACAACTGAGCTACCTTCCCAGCCCCTGTTCTTCATCTTTATTGGACACCCGGCCTTAAATTCCCTCATCTGAGGGCTGGTGGAGTCAAGCAATGATCAAGGTTGGGGATGAGCAGGAAACATGATTATCTGCCTCATTATTAGGAAAATTATTCCATCTGTGGGGGAATGAGGCCCATGGGAGTGGATCTGGTGAGGGGGGTCAGGTCCTGCTGCCCATTCTACCAGGTTACAGGGCAAAGGCTCAGCTGTTCCTAAGGTTCCTAGGCTGAGACTAAAGTGGAGAGGCTAAAATATCTCAAGAAACAGGGCTCAGCCCAGCTGGGCACCAAGGCTCACACCTGTAATCCTAGCTACTCAGGAGACTGAGATCTGAGGATGAAGATTTGAAACCAGCTCAAACAGGAAAGTCCCTGAGACTTTGATCTCCAATTAACCAGCAAAAAGTCAAAGTGGAGGTGTGTGGCTCAAATGGTAGAATACCAGCCAGCCAACCTTGAGCAAAAAAAGCTAAGGATGAGGGGGTGGGGTGGGGGGTGTAGCTGTGGAGATGGGAGGGAAGGGATGGGAGAGAAAAACAAAGGAGGAGGCAACAATGCTTGATAAGAAATGTACTCATTACCTTGCCCATGTAACTAACCCCTCTGTACACAATAAAAAACTTATTTTTTTTAAAAAGCTAAGGAACAGCTCTTAGACCCTGAGATCACACCCCAATACTGTGTATATACACGTGTGTGTGTATATGTGCGCACACACCACCACCACCACCAACAACAAATCACCAGAACCCCAAAGTGCAGCTAGACCTAAGGACTCAGCTGCCATTTAGGCAGGATGACACTGGGGCTGGTTAAGGAGCCCCGGGAAGGCTTATATACCAGAACCTTGAGGTAAGGTCCCAGCCTTGGAGATGGGTACCTATCAGTGCTGGGTGACACTGAGCAGGCCACCAAATCTCTGATTCTTTGCTCTGTCTCTGCTCACTAGGGACAGGGTGGTTTGAAGACCCATGAGATCAATGATGAGAAGCTCAGAAAGCTTTAAGTAAGAGTAGAGCCAGAGTCCTAGACAGGGAAGTCAAGATCCTGACCCCTGGTGGATCCATCTCCAGGGTGACTCAGAGCTGGCACCTTTCCCATTCCAGAGGCTGTGGGGAAGGCAAGCTTCAAGGCCAGGAACACTGTGCAATCATTCTACCGGGGTTCACCAAGTGTGGAGGGGTCTTGGGGGACTTGGGAGGTGGGCCGGTGCCACAGTCTGCTGAGGTTGGAGGAACAGCGCCCTCTGCTGTACAGAGGAGGCAGCACCGGGCCTGAGGGCTGGCAGGAGGCCCAGCCTGGGTCCCGAGCCACTCAGTCCCCTGCCTCACTGCCTGGGAGCCAGAATGTACTGGGGTTCCCCAGGGATGGCCAGGTGTTTTGTGGCTTTTGAGGGACGTTCTCAGCAAAACTTTTAGTAGCCTTGGAATTTCAGTTCTCCAAGCACTGGTTCTGTGGTCTGGGGAGGCGGGGGGCAGAGGGGATGGCTTACTTCTCTGAACCCCAGAACCTCAGGGAAGGAAAAGAGACAAAGCAGGTACATCGTTCAGTGCCATGATGGGTAGATATCAAGGTTCTGGCATAGCTCACACTAGCAGGACTTAAGGCACACAGGGTTCCCAGAATTTCTGGCTCCTCTCACCTCTGTGCTCCCCAACCCTCTAAACTCACTATGTGGGTACTCTGTGTATGTGTGTGTGTGTGTGTTTGCACACATGAGCATGCGCCAGTACTGGGACTTAAACTCAGCCAGGGTGCTGTCCTTTCACTTTTCCACTCGAGGCTGGAGCTCTCCCACTTCAGCCAGAGCTCTACTTCCAGCTTTTTTTTGCTGAAGAATTGGAGATAAAGAGTCTTTATGGATTTTTCTGCCCTGGCTAGCTTCAAACTGCAACCCACAGATCACAACCTCCTGAGTAGCTAGGATTACAGGCGTGAACGACCCACTGGTGCCAGGGGAGTCCCACAATTGTAACTCAACTCTCAGTTCTGGATTGTACATAGCCCAGCCACGCACACGGGTATTAGGGTGGGGGGGGGAGGAGAGGTTGGGTCTCCCCTGGGCTCTCTGGTGTATCTAGGGAGCAGCTACAGAGGTGTAGTCTCCTTCCCTACCCTGCTGTGACTCTCCTAGGTGTCCCCACCCTGTCATTGTCCCCTGATGAGAGATCACTCAAGAGGGCTGCTATGCTTCTACATCCAGTTTATACACAGTTCTATACAATATACAGAAACCTTTATATACAGATATATTTATAGAATAAGCTATATTAATTTGTCTCTCCTTTGTACAGCAATATTAGTATGGATCTTTCATACATTAAGTACAAAAAAAAAGGTCATAGGAGAATGGCACGTAGAGAGTTCGGGAGGGTATGTGGGGCCTAGCTGCTTGCTACTGATTGCATATGGAGGTCACCCAGGTCCCAGGGAGGACAGGCCAGCGTGTGGCTGCAAGAGCTTGTGCTGTGGGTCTGGGGGACAGTGTGTGTGTGTGTGTGTGTGGAGGGGGTCTTAGCTGAGCTGCGCCCAGGGGGGTGGCTCAGACCCCCCGAAAATGCAGCCTGGGCTACAGGGGAGAGACGTGCAGCAGACCCATCCTTCAGGGGCAGGAAGGAGGCAGGTAAGGGAGGGTGGGCTGACCCTGGGGGGTCCAGGGCTGAGTCCAAGCCTGCCCCAACCCCAAGCCTGTCACTGGGTGTGGCTGCAGTCTTGGGGGTGGGAGGTCTGTCCCTGATGGCTCAGTCCCGGGCATGAGGGAGGGAGGTCCCCAGAGCTACCCTGGCAGAGGGAAAAGTCAAAGGCCAGACCCAACTCTCGCCCTGTTTACTGGCCCTGAACTTTTCTTTAAGAGTTTTGTCTTGATGTTTGAATCTTTTTCTTTTTTGCCTTGCTCTGTGCTGGGTGGAGGCTCTGCCTCCATAGCACATGTCCAGGCACAGGAAAGCCTGGAGTCCAGGGAGGGTGGGAGAGAGTGAGGGAAGGCCCAGCTTCCAGGTCTCTGTCCCTCCTCTGTTGGAGAGGGCAGCTGTCTAGGCCAGCCTCAGCCATGTGTAGAGTTGGCTGTTCAGGCCTAAGACCAGTGATTACTGGCTGGGAGGGGGAGTTGTGGCTGGGAAAGCCCCTGCAGCCCAGGGAGGCCTGGGGGGTGGGGCGGGGGTGGGACCAGAGTGGGCGGGGCCATGCCTCTGAGTAGACAAAGGCACAAGCAGGCCTTCTGCACACCTCCTGGGCCCACATCCAGCTCCAGGGCTGCTTTCTTGGCAGGCTGGGAGGGGCAGCAGGCAGGAAGGTGGGCAGGCAGGCAGCCCCCAGGAGCCCCTTCCTCAGGAATGGTGCACATTCATGCGCATGCACACACACGCCTGACATTAGCATGCACACCCTCCCCGACCCCTGCCTGGCTGAGGGGGGAGGGGAAGGCCGGTTCCCACAGCCCCATCTCTGCTCCTAGACCCATAGGGAACCCCAGTGGGGGAGGGGGAGGGATCAGGCTAACTTAGGAACCGCCCCTGAGCTCCTGACCCTCCTGATCCTTCTCCTGGGCACTGGGTAGTCTTTAGCCAGGCTGGAGGGTGGGGCTCAGGTCCCAGGAAGGCACCAGGCCAGTGGGGAGAGGGAAAGGCCGCAGAGTCTGCTTGACCATGGTCGGGTGACACAGAGGGGTCAAGTGGGGCCCTTAGAGGAGGGGGACTGTGGCTGCCTTCTTTCCTCCCGGGGCCGTGACTCTGCAGCCAGGGATGGTCACTCCAGTGCCCACCACCCTTTGAGTGGCCAGGGTCCCTAGGTTCAGAAGGGGAGCCAGGAAGTCAGGGGGCAGTAGGTAGGCAGGGCAAACTGCATGGCCCAGGCTCTGTGAATGGGAGGGACCAACACAAGGGGCACCAGGCAGAGAAGGGATCATCCTCACCCTGACCTCCTCTGGGCCTCTCCCAGCTCCTTGACAGCCTCAGGCCCTGCTCAGATATATAGATAAGCCCAGCATATAACCTGAGCCAAGCCTGACAGTTTCTGTAAACAAATACAACACTGTGGGTCACCTAGGTGTGTGTGTGTGTGTTAATGAGGGGTGTCCCCCCCCAGGGGGCCGGCCAGCAGGCACCAGATCTGGGGAGGGTGGTCAGGGCATAGAATCATGGGAGAGTACTGCTCTGTGCTGGGCCCTGGGAGAGAAGCCAGAGAGCAGTGAGGGGGAGCTAGCTTGCTCAGCGCCTGTCCCAGAACAGAGTGCCCGGATGTCCTGTGGGGAAGTCAGGCTGGGGATGGGCTGAGGAGGCTGAGTGTGGGCCTGCCTGCCCTGCCAGCTGCCCTGACCCCTTCCTGATCCTTGCCCTCTCTGTACTTTTGCCCCAGCCACCTTGGCTCTGGGGGTCCTAAGCTGAGGTAGGGATGTGGACCCCCAGCTCAGCAGCGATGCCTCAGGCCTGCGGCTACCTTGGTCCCCAGGGGCCTCTCCTCAAAGCTACCTGGCCTGGGATGGCCATCAGGTGCCCATGGGGCCCTGTGCTTTGGGCCAGGGCCTGGCTAGCGGCGGCTATGGAGTGCTAGCGTGCTGAGATGACCAGGTCATCCTGCTTGGTGGGGCTGGCCCTGTGGCCAGTGGGGGTTGAAGTCCGGATCTTGTCTACCGCCAGGCACTCCTGGCTGCTGAGGCCTGTGGGTGTCAGGTCCATGAGTTCCCCGGAGGAGCTGAGCGGGAAGGAGGGAGAGAGAGAAATGCCAGAGGAGGGATCGGCCGAGCCCGCGAAGAGCCTCGGGGGCTTGGGCACCAGGTTGGGCTCAAACTGGGCCCGGAGCAAGATCTCTTGCTGGCTGGGGGACTTGGGACCCTCGGCATAGTCGCTGGTGGGGCTCTCGGGCACCACCATGCAGTAGAGGTCCTGGAAGGAGCTGCTCTTGCTGTCCAGGTTGAAGAGGCTGTCGATGAACTCGGCGAACTCCAGCACCTGGGGACTGGGCGAGTCCCCCAGGCGCCCGTTGTGCAGGGTCAGCTCCCCGCCGGCAGGGGGCGCCGTCCCGACGCCCTCCGCGCCCGCCTCCTCTTGGTCCTCATTGGCCGCGCTCGGGGCCCGCTCGGGAGTGACGGCGCCGCTGCCGCTGCCCGGCGCCGCCTCCAGGGGCTGCGTGTCCTGCGAGTGCTTGGACAGGCTGTCGGCGGCCAGCAGCTCGGTGCGGGAGCTCAGGGACGGGTTCTCCTCGGGGATGGCGGGGTCGATGTAGAAGAGGTGGCCCTCGTCGCGCTCCAGCACGGCGTGCAGGCTGGGCGACCCCCGGATGCTGCGGAAGCCCGAGGAGCGGCGCGAGTCGAAGCTGTACAGGGACTCGGTGTCCGAGAGGCTCTCCATGGTGGCCAGCGGCGCGCGGCGGGCCTGCAGCTCGGCCGCCAGCCGCTCCTGCGTGGACAGCAGCAGCAG